TAAATTGATAGATTGGTTGTGTCGTATTATGTAATGTCTGGCATTGTTTTGGACATTTCAACTTCCTACAAAAGTAGAATCATTATTATCTACAGCTATTCTGCTAAGTTCCCGCGATCAATTTTTCGTGCAATTTGCAAAATAGTGTATTCAAAAAGAAAATTGACAAGAAAAAAAACACAAAAAACTCTTATTTTTAATACGTTTTAAGTACTTTTAATATTGCGAAATTGAATTAAAATTAATTTTAACAAAATATTTTCAAACCATATCAAAATAACATTTTCTACAAAACTGTCACGAAGAAAAATTATTAATTTTAAATGAACAGATATGTTATGATTTAAAAACTGCTTAGGACAAGACATATAACAAGTTTTTTCTCTATTAAATGTATAATTGATAATTATAAAAATTTTAAATGATTTCTTTTTAATTTATTAAAAAAAAAAAAAAAAAATTAGCTGTACATTTAATAAGGGCTTACTTATTTTTTATTCCAAAAATAGATTTTTATTATATTTATAAAGTAATTGAAACTTAACTTTTAAAATACGTTTAATAAGAAAATACCATAAAGCCAATCAGGGCAGAGAAACTTCATATCCAAAAAAAACTCACTATTTCATTTTTCCCTCGTAGAAATAAGAAAAAAACCATATGAAATTGAATTGGTTAATTTTAATAGCAATATCTGATAATCCGTTTATGTGACAGGTTATAACTTTTATATGGTTTTTAATGTTTAAAAAATTAACCAAAACATTTCAAAATAAGATATGGCCCGCCAAACAGCAAAGCTTGAACATCCTATACCCTAAAGATACTTGACAAAACAAGAACTCAAGGAATGCACGTTTAAGAATCCCAATTTCGCTTCATCCCTTCCGCCATGATAAGTCACAGCACACTTTTTATTTTATAAACTATATTAAATAGTCTTACGTGCCAACCACTTTTAAACCGAATATGTTTAACACCATTCTTGAATTGAGACGATTTCATTTTCCGAAAAAGAAAATATTACACACCAAACGCAGTTGCGTGATATAAAAAAAATATATCAATTAGCATAGCATTATGTTTAGCGCGCGATTGAACTCATTATTGAACCATACTTTGTTTCAAACATTTAGATCTATTTGTAATATACCCGCAAAGCCAAATTCACTGAATAGAAAGCAGTTTTTTTAGAAAATATAAAACAATGTGTGATAACTTGTGGGATCTATGAGTTTAGAAATTTAATTACGTTCATGTAAGTGCCAAAATGTGTCGTTGCACACGTAAGGGGCTACCATCATGTGGATCATTTTTATTAATTTTACAAAATTAAAATTGTGTGTGTGAGGAGGCGATTCAAAACGTTCTTTTTTCCCCAGGCAGCACAAGATACACCTCCGAATAATGGAATGAGAGTGAAAAAATATTTAATTTTATTAACTTCAAAAATCGGTTGTATTAAATAAGGTGTTTACATTTTTAAGTGGATAACATTATATTTAGATCCAATGATATTACATTTCTGAAAAAGAGGTGTTGAATTCTCTATTTACAAATACTTATATTTTTTACTAATTAAGAAAATATGGTTGTAGATAATAAACATTTCAATGCATCGAATTCCGTTTATATGAAATTTGTATAGATTTTTTTGTTTTAAATTTTAGGTCATGTTTTACAATTATTAGCAAAAAAAGTTTAGTTCATGGGCACAAACAGTGATATGATATCAGTCATTGTTAAACCTCGTCCACTTTTAAAAAGTCCCTTAAAACCCATCTGTTTAGGTCCGCCTATGACCTTAGATGCACCCTCCTTGCCCTGCCTCATTTTCGGTCTCGGGTTAATCCTGTAATATAGGCCAAAACGTGACAAAGTGTCCTCATTTTATGGCCATTTTAATTGTTTCTATAGTATAGTAGTTACTATCCTAACGTCTCATTTTTATTTTAGTTAGTTTACATGTTTTTAATAATTGTAAAGCGCCTAGAGCTTTAAGGTAAGCGCTATCTACAAAATGCCTAAATAAATAAATAAATATGATAGGCATATAACATATAACAGTAAAAATATTTTTCAAAAGTAAACCAATTTGGAAACGTAAATATCATTACTTTATACTTCTTTTCAAAAGAAGGAATTGCGATATGTTTTTGCCATAGCAGTTAAAAAAATAGTCACAAGATATCTGCAATAATTGTTCCGTTTTCGTCGGAGTAATATATTTTAGTAATTTATACGTTAACTACACATCATAGTTTTCCGATGGACACGTAAAGCATCGACAACACAGTCAACAACATTTTAACACAAGAATACATTTTGCAGATCCGTCGTTTCATTATTTTTAACGTCATCCATCAAGAAATTGGCTTTTAAAGCTATAACACCTAATGGTCTAAATGAAAAAAAAGTGTCAATTTATTTATAGTTAAAATATATCAATCTTTAATGAGGCCATTTGCAAAAATTTGCCTTAAAATAATTATATCTGATTACATGTTTGTTATAGACGTAAAAATGTGGTGAGATATTCTTATTTTAACAGATACGTTTTTAATTCTTCCTAAAGCACAGTTCATAAAAAATATTTAAAAAATGTGGTCCAAAAAAAGTATATCATGGTACACATTTATTAAAACCAAAGATATTGCAGGTCTACAAAAAATGCTATTAAAATGTGTCCAACCTTTTAAGAAAAATATAAATATTAGTTGTATCTTGTTTTGTTATAGTTATGAAACTATTTCGAGACTCTCGTGACTTTGATAAACATCTCTTTTTTTTTTAGCCTATTAGCCGTTATTTATATAGGCAAAGCACATGGCTTGCAATTTTTAGAATATCAATTTGTAAATTACCTTTGATATATTACAGATAATGACGATGTATGTTTTAACAAAAGCCTATCTCCTACAAAAAATAAAAAGTATCACATTTTGTACGTACGGTTGACTAGCTTAATAGAAATAATAATTAGAATTAATCAATAATTATAACGACCGCAAATGAGACCTTGTTACAAGAAGCGATTATTTGGATATCATTCGAACGTGAATATATTGAACACAAGATGCAATTAATTGCAAACTAACCTATAAAAGTACCACAGCAATTTAGTCCAGTACTTCCACCCATATGAGTGTGATATCCTTTATGATCCAACCTACTAAATAAAACAACGGGCGCGCCAGCACACCCAGGACATGTACATGTTGTGTACGTATACCTCGTATTTTCTGTACAAACTACACCCTTATCTATCCATTGCCCAACAGAAACTTGTTTGAAAAATCCATGAGGATGTGAAGTTATGATACACAACTTATGTTCATCGTTTAAACTCAAGTAGCGTTCACTTAATCTGCACCTTAAACCCTCACTTTTTATCAACGTAGTCTGTATTTTATTCAGTAATTCCAAATCACATGTATTGAATTTGATTACACATCGATCTGTTTCAACATTTGCATCTACAACAGTGAATCCATCACCTATAACATTTGGACTATCACACTCGTCATAGAAAAATGTGCATGTAGCTTGTCGGGCCTCAATATCATCAAACACAACATGAGTTGCTGTAACTATCCAAATTTCCCCCCATGCTTTTGTTAATGTATCAGAATGTTTACATTTGTGGCTTTGACATGTATTAAACATGGAGTTAGTAGCTTTATACACAATTCCACTTCCAAGTCTCTTGGAGTCACTTCCAATTCTATCAAAGAACGGGTAACGATTAAATGGAACGGGCCCAGACTGTGGTCTTTCAGGACTTACTATTTTAACATCTACTCTTACAGTTAGAATAGCTACTGATTTGATGAAGTCAACAATGTCGTTGTTCTGATAATTTATGGGAAGATTACTGATGTTGAACTTGTTTATGGGTATAAATTCCTTATGTCCAGGATTCTTTTGACAACCTGATCTTTAAATTAATAAAATTAATACACACAAACCATATTAAAATAAAAATGTCTTTTGAAAACTTAAAAAAATAAAATTATACAAAAAATGAAATACTATATATTAAGATAGTTTTTTAAAAAAATAATATGATATTTTAAAAATTATGTGTTCACGTCACAAGTTATTTAAATAAAGGTTATTCTGGTTTGACTTATTATTATTTATATTTATAAAACTTAGCTAGGAACATAAAGAAAATTACTGCTGCTAACAATAAATACAACTGTATTTTGTTTTCCATAATTATATCAGTTGTCTAATACATACGGTGGAATGATTTGTCCAGATTAGAATCTCCTTTTTTTACTTCTTTCCAAGTTTTCCTAGATGAATCTTCGTCTTTTGTCGACATCAAAGAGTTAAAGAGGAGTATCGATATGGGCATGAGTAACAAAAAAAAAAGTATTATGTTCTCTGTTAAAATTTTACACACTTTAATTATATTTACAACAATGAACAATAATACATTGAATTTATTTTAATTGAAGAAACAAATAGCTTTTTTAATTCAAGTCTTAACCTCTACAATATAGGACCATTTCTCTTTACCTATTTCTATTTGAATATAATTTGCGTAACCTTCGCTTATTTGTTTAAATGCAATGGCTGGAATTTTTTTACAAATATGTATTTTAAGGTTTCTGACATTCTAAAGCAACATTTATTTATTAAAAGTTTGCAAGTATATATATATTTTTTAAAAATGTATAATGCATCAACGAAAAAAAAAATCAAAATTAACGACAGTCCCTGGAAAAAAAAATTTAAGCAAGATTTTTTAATTATAAACAAATTAAATAATTAATTTTGTTACTTGCATTGGAATTTCAATGAAAGGAAGTACATGTCATGGTTGTATTATGGTTGAAATAAAATGATTAACATTTATGCAATATATAAAAGAGAGGTATCAAGAAATAAATATCAATATATATAAACTTTTAAAGAGATTTTAAACAATTTAAAGGCATTCAAAGTAATAGTAATAAGCTAAATCTTAATAAAATTTCCTCACATAAAAAAAGTTTACTGCTAAGCAAATTGGCGGCTCTTGGTCTCTTCATTGGATCCTTTTCAAAAGTTTCATTGAGAAAATCATTTAAATCTTGTGAACAATTTAGGTCAAGGTTATATGCTGGAGATGGATGTTCTCCACTCAATCTAAATTCAACCATGTGTCGCTCTAAGCCTTTAAATGGGGGATATCTGGTTATCATTTCAAGAACTGTGCATCCAACAGCCCTAAAATATAAACGCATTTTTGTAATTATGTTTATAAAATAAAATTGTGATTAACTGTTTGAATTAGTCACATATTTAGAAGGGAACAAAATTAAAAATTGGATGCATCTCCTTTGCATTTTTTTGAACAACTATCAACTCATCGATGTCATAAAATGATTTTAATGAACAATCTATTTAATATTTTAATTTTTTTTCAAAAAAATCAATTGTATTCTTTTTACATTAATGATTTTAAAAAATTGTTTAGCAAATTGTTACCATATATCCACTTCCTTTCTGTAGGGTTCAGACCTGAGCATCTCAGGAGCCATCCATCGTGTTGTACCAACTCCCGAGGTGTGGGCTACAGAAATGTCGTCCAGCAGTTTAGAAACCCCAAAGTCTGCAAGTTTTATGTTGAACTTGTCTTGAAGTAAAATGTTTGCAGCTGTATTTTTAAGAATACACTGTATTAACACTTCCGGATCATTAAATATCCTAGAGAAAACTTTGAATCAACTAAGAATGCTTAAGAATCGTAATAGACGACTCTAGAATATATATTATGTGCTAGAGTTTAATGTATCAATAAAACAAGTTAGATTCTGTTCACATGTGTTTCTTTCAAATATTTGACTTGTGTGTTTATTTGACGAACACACACAATGGTTTCGTGTTACACTGCATTATGTTTAAAATAGTTTGTATAATGCCTGACATGTTTACAGAAATAGTAAAGACCCATTTCTTTCATGTTAAAGTCTTTACTACATATTTTCACCTCAAGTCTAATTGATCTATAACGAACCTAAACTACATCAAATTTTTTTTTTTTAATTTACATTTTATCATCGAAAAGAAATGTTTATCAAAGATTCATTTATGCAACGACTATTGTGATATTTAAATTGATCTTTTTATGAACTAGTTAAAAACAAATCTATTTATTAAGAGTTACAGGTCCGGCAAAAAAATACTTTAAATTTTTTTGTAAAATATTATAATAATAATTTGATGCTATTAGGTAGAAAGGAATTGTTATTTGAAGATAATTGACTATAATATATGAACGCATTATTGTTTAAAATTTAATTATTTTGAAAATAAAAAATAATACAATGTAAAAAAAACAGTTACAACTAAGTAATGCTATCGTTAAAAAGATATGTTATTTACCTTTAATATCTCGATGAATAATCCCTTTCTCATGTACATATTCCAATCCTTGAAGAATCTGTTTTGTTATATGCACAATGTCACGCTCAGAAAGGTCAGGGTTACTGTCATTGTCGATATAACTGTGAAGTGATCCCTGTATATAAAATTAAAGCTCTAACAATAATATTTTTGATTTGAGGACAAGAGGATTTCCATAGTCAAGTACATTTCTTTTATTAAACATAAGACCCTAAAGTATAACATTTCCAAACATATTAACTTTTAAGAGAAAATACTAATTATTATAGAAATGACTTTGTTAAAATCTGAACATTTATATTCCTAATTAATAACTTATAAAAAAAAAAATCCTTTTATAATTATATTATTTTGTTGTTGATATACATTCCCCTAGGACAAGTTAATGCGAAAACTCCTTATAGCATAGTGGTTAATTTACGAGATTTAACACGAGTTGGGGGACGATGTTATGGCTATGAATTTCCTCGTCGATGACAGGTAAGGGGAGTGCAAAGGTAACACGTCCTAAAGGCAATAACATTTATATCATAAAAAAAAAGGAAATAACTTACCATTGGCATTCGTTCCATGAATAAAAACAGTAGGTTGTCTTTCTTACAATAACCATAAAATGGGACGATTCTCTCATGGTCCAGCTTTGGAAGGATACATTTCTCTTTCTCATATGCCTCCTAAGTTTATTATTTAAAAAAATATATTTAAAATTGATGGGGGTTAATTGCATAAAAGTCAATTATCTTCACACATAATATTTCCTATCGTTATACATGCACTTTTAAACAGCGTATGGCTTGCCAAACAAAGGATCCAGCATAGCATTGACTTCCCATTTACTAGAAGTACTTAACAAAACATGAATTCAAGTAAAGCACCTTAAAATGATCTCAATTGGCGCTATCCTGTACCGAACGATACCCCACCGCACAATTTTTTTGATGTCCCATGAACTATCTTAATATTCGTATGTCCCACACACTTGACACGGGAGATTCATTACACCATTTTTGATTTAAGACTATTTAGATTAAAACAAAAAGAAAATAACGAAACAAATGCCCGTTATGTATTTTTTAAGAATCAGCAAAGTTATCGGAATTTAATTTTGTACGTTATTAAGGTCAAAATTACACCATACTTTCTTTCATACCTATAGAAGTATATGTGCTGACTAGTCTTAAAAAAACTATTTGTTAATCCCCTTTTTAAAATTTTATAATTTCTATATGTTCTTTTTTTTACCAAATGTTTATTATCTCCAGAATGTAGAATAGTTATTTGTTTTACTGCTAATGGGACCGTGGTGTCTTTGTCATTGACAGCCATACAAAACACTTGACCAAATGCCCCACCACCAATAAAGTCACCCTTTCTCCAATTGGTTGGTTCGTTCACACCATCTACAAAAATTTAAAAAAAGAAGTCATGTCAGATACTGATAAAAATAAAATAAGTTTATGTAACATTTGGTAAACACTTAATTTATTTATTTTTTAAACACAACTGTATAGCATAATTCATAAATTCAAATAAAAAAGGAATTTTGTCACCAGCTTTTAAGTTATCCTTAATCAATAAATTGAAAATAACGTTATAAATTATTTAAAATTTGTTTCTTTTTTGTTTAAATTATATAATTGATGTTTTGTAACACTGTTACTAATTTTTTAAATAAACTTTTTTAAAAATTAATATAGTGTTTATTAATTATTTATATTCTTAATAAAATTATTAATATTTTTTAACGAATTAGTAGGCCTACCTCCTGATAGGGTCTCAGTAAAATTAAGTTCTATCGGATCGTACTCAATTGCTACTTCAAACGCCATTATGATTGTTCAATTCAGATGTTTTTCTAGTTTATTTTGATAATAATGTTCTGTATAAAGAGAAAGAAACAAATTATTTACAATTGGTTAGAATCGTTAAAATGTAATATTTTAATATTGATATTATTGTAATAAAATGTATATAAAATTAACACTATATTCGTATAAGTGCATAAGAAATATATACGGGCTAACAATATTTTGTTTATAATAAAAATAATTGTATTTTACAACTCGGCTGATAGTAATGCTATGTATGTCATAACATCACATGTATTGTGTAAATTAATCATTCATGCAGTCTATATGAAATGACCGTGTTCAAGGCAGTTGAAATGTTACGTCCGTCTATCTCTTCACGTGACTAATGTTTAACAGGTCTGCCTCTAGTATCATTTGATTTTGAATGTACTATTTAATATCTATTTCACATCTATATGATTTTGAAAGACCCAATCATCTATATACTAAATAATACAAAGCAGCATAATGCAATCCAAATGTATATTTATATATGTATATTTATGTTTAAAGAATGTATATTATATATATATATATATATATATATATATATATACTTAATATATATCTCGTTTTTGTTACGAAATGGAAACGGAAACGCATCGCCGCTATTTGGACCCGGGTCCCATTAGACTAAATGCTATTGGGGTGTCATTTGTGGTAGTTTAGTTTAACTGAAGAATTAGGTTCGCAAACATATAGTCCATTCCATTCTCTTTCATTTGATACCAAATGTTATCTTACAAACCCAATAATAAATTTTAAAACTTTTTTTAAATAAACCCAACCTCTCACTTCTGTTACCAGGTCTGAATAGCCGCAGGCGAGAAAGAAGTGGTCCCCAAATGGCGGTCTGTGGACCTTCACCGGTCCGCACTCCTAACACTACGGCCCCAATAACAAAAATATTTATTGTCAAATAGAAACAAAAGTATAAAAATAAATCATGCACCGGTACCTGGTAAAATTTCGAAACTTGTTCACCGGTTTGCCAAAATTAAACGTTTGGGAACCACTGCTTTAGTGAACACACTTTAAATAGATTCAATGTCTTTTTATTCCCTTTGAATTTTACGTGACCAGTCTTCAAGCACAACTTCCTAATTATGCATTAAAAAGTCTTTAAAAGTACCCTCGACCCAGATCAACGGTTACAGCAGTTAAAAAAAATAAAATCTGACTTCCCGCCATTGGCGCCAAATTCTAAAACTCTAGTTACACCCCTTTCTGATTGAGCTATATTTATTTTTTTTTAAATCTAGAAATATATAGAAATATAACAAAAATTCACTGTACATACTGTCATCACATCATTTTTATACATTCGGTGAGGCGCAAGTGCCTAACAAAGCCAACGTCTCGGCTCGGTGAATATTTGTGTCGTTCGTATTGATCGCAACCATTCATACGTCATACGGCACGCGCAAACATCGCATGGGTTACCTGCTTTCAAAAACTTTTAAAAAGCTTTAATTTAGACATAAAAACTTCGATATATTACATTTGAAAAAATTAAAGTAATATATTTTAAATATTATATTAAACAAGACTTTATATCGTTATTATATGAGAAATTAGAGTACACATTGATAATTTAATTCTAATCACATTAATGGGACCAAAGTTATTCCATGTCATACAGGAAATTCCCGCTGAAATATTTTGAAATCCCGTTACTTCAAGTGTTCAGCAGCAAATACAAACCAATTGATATCATAGTTTGTATTTGCTGCTGAACTTTAACACTTAAAGTAACGGGATTTCAAAATATTTCAGCGGGAATTTCATGTATGACACGAAATACTTTGGTCCCACTAATGTGATTAGAATTAAATTATCAATGTGTATTGTCATTCCTCATATAATAACGATGTAAAGTATTGTTTAATATATTTAAAATATGTTACTTTAATTTTTCAAATGTAATATATCGATGTTTTTATGTCTAATTTCAGCTGTTTTAGACGTTTTTGAAAGCAGGTAACCCATGCGAAGTTTGCGCGAGCCTTATGACGTATAAATGGTGGCGATGAATACAAACGACACAAATATTCGCGAGACGATGCCTTTGTTAGGCACTTTGGCCTCACTGAATGTTTAAAAATGATGTGTTGACAGTATGTGCAGTGAATTTTTTATATATTTCTATATATTTCTAGATAAAAAAAATATATCTCTCAATCAGAAGGGGGTGTAACTAGAGTTTTAGAATTTGGCGCCAATGGCCGGCAGTCAGATTTTGTTTTTTTTTAACTGCTGTAACCGTTGATCGGGGTCGAGGGTACTTTAAAAAATTTTTTAATGCATAATTAGGAAGTTTTTTTTGAAGACTGGTCACGTAAAATTCAAAGGGAATAAAAATACATTGAATCTATTTAAAGTGTGTTCACTAAAGCAGTGGTTCCCAAACATTTAAGTTCGGCGGAGCGGTGAAAAAGTTTCGATCTCTTACCAGGTACCGGTGCATGATTTATTTTTATATTTTTATTTCTATTTGACAATAAATATTTATGTGATGGCGACCGGCAGTGTTAGGCATGCGGACAGGTAAAGGCCCACAGACAGTTATTTGGGGACCACTTCTTTCTCGCCTGCGGCTATTCGGACCTGGTACCAGAAGTGAGTGGTTGGGTTTTAAAAAAAAAAAAAAATTTATTATTGGGTTTGTAAGATAAAATTTGGTATCAAATGAAAGAGAATTGAATGGACTATATGTTTGCGAACCTAATTCTTCAGTTTAACTAAAATAAACCACCACAATTGACATCCCGGTAGCAATTAGTCTAAAGGGACCCGGGTCCGAATAGCGGCGATGTGTTTCCGGTTCCATGTTGACTAAATGCTATTTGGAAGTCATTTGTGGTAGTTTATTCTAGTTGAACTGATAATTAAGTTTTCAAACATATAGTCCATTCCATTATCTTTCAGTCGAGAGAACATTTTATTTTACAAAGCCAACAATAATATTTTAATTTTTTTTTTTAATCCCAACCTCTCACTTTTTTTACACATGTTTAGAGAAAGAAGCGGCTATCTTAATAGCCGCTTCTTTCTCTAAACATGTGTAATTTGTGCAAGGGAAACTCTGAGTGTGTTGTCAATAACTTTTAATCTATTAAAAATAGCATTAGTAGCCAAAGTAAGAACGTTCATTAAGAATCTCTAAAATTAATTTAAAAAATATTTCTACCCCCAATTTTACTAGTACAATCACGTCATTGAGCAGAATCGTTCTTAGGATTTTGTGGCCGTAGGCCTAGAGTGTAGGTAGGGGACCCCGGAAAGGGGACTTCGGTGGGGGGCAAGCTACCCCGTAGCTGAGGCGGAAACACCACCAACAACTGCGGCACCTTCAATCTAGCTTCGTCATAGTTTCCTCTTTGCTAGCGTGTAACCACTAACCATATTGATCATTCCGCCACTTAAGAAAATGTGTTGTTCTGAAATATATCGACTAACAAGTTGTAGGCTATTTGGCCTGAGGCGGGCACCTAGTTTTTCGATCCCTAAAAAATACTCTTTCTAGAGAGACTAGCTTTTTAAAAAAAAGAAATATAAAAAACAATATTTTATTTCTTAATTACAAAAAATCGCGAAATGACAAACTTCCATCTAAACTGCTTTATTTTACACAAAACGCCCCTCCCCATATTTCTAAAGATTTCACATGTATACTTCTGATAAATTGTTTCTTTCCTATAAGATCTTAAATATGGACATGTGAAAAAAGAACACAACATTAAAATGGAAAACAACAACCCTTACACAAACATAATCAATACACTCAGTGCGCCATTAACTCGTCAGCCAACCCGCTATTTTCCAGACTTTCACACATAGGCAAATAAAAAAGAAGTAATCGGAAACGAATCTATAGGTATATGTTTTTGTGATTGGCCTATATATAAAAAAGATGCTCATTATGAAATATATGTAAACTAGAGGGCTTACATATCTCTAAAAATAAATGTACATACGGTTTGTTTCTTGTTTAAAGAAAGAAAAACAGCATTAATTGTCTTACCCAATTATTTTCAAATTCATAGAAAACTCGTCGGAAATAGTGTCAAAGCGTCTGTCATCGCCTTATTGAGCCATTGCTGCAGCGGATTAAAATTTAGCCCAATCGGTCATTGTATTACTATATGCCTAATTACTTGTCTGTAACAGTTTAATCCCATCTAAAAACTTTGTAAATATATCCTACATTGAAATCTTTTTAACTAGTATTTTTTAGAGTGGTTTTGTGAATGGCTTTGTTTTGTGTTTCTTAAATTTTGTTTAACATTACCTTTTTTTTATTTTTAAGTTGTGTGACTCGAAGATTATACTTGTGTTAACATTGTATATGATCATTGTGAAAACAATTGTAATAATAATTCAAATAGTTTTTTGTAATATTATTTTAGTGTTCACAGTTCAGATTTGAGTTTTATGGGAATTGGTGATACCCTTGAAAATTTTGAATAAAATTTATTGATTGATTTCATGCAGTAAAATAAAGTCAAAATCATAAAATGAATTGAATATATTTGATCATCATAAAGTTTTG